AAAGTCCTGGCCTGGAGGTCGCGGCGAGGTCAGCAGCTGATAGCGAAGTGTCTGATGCAGCCCCCCGGGTGGAGGCGGGTAACTTTAAAGGATGAAATGACGAGGTGACCAGGCCCCGCAGCGGTTCCTCCCGCAGTGCGGTCGGGGCTTGGTTTTGTCCGGGTTCCTGGAGCGGCGCCCCCACCTTGCTTCTGCTGTGCAGCGGCAGGGCGGGGCATGCTGGTGCAGGCCCACGTGGGGCAGTTTCTTTCAGTCCGAGTTGTCAGGATAGGCGACTTGCAGGTACTATACCCCCCACCACCCCCCGAACAAAACATGTTTTGTTATTTTTGAATTTGTGAACATTTAAAGAGTTGACAGTTTTACCTCGAACACCTGTGTGGGCACATCAGCAGGATTCTACAGTGAACACATGTTGCTACATTGGCTCCATTTGCGACATCCATCCCGTCATCTTTCCGTTTATCCCACATTCATCCATCCCTCCACCCACTAATCCCCCATCCACGTTTGAAAGATGAAGAAAATGTTGATAATGATGAAGAAGGAAGCTCCGGAGAAGGGAGAGGGAGTTAAGGTGGGAAAGCTCGAGGCGTCGCGGGTCGCCTTGGAGACGAGTGTGCTGTGCCTGCAGTGGTGGGTCTGTAACTAAGTAGCCAGAGAGAAAGGGTGAAAGGACTTCTCCATTGTTGACGGGCTTACACTTGATCCTGTTGGAAGGAGGTTCTGTTTGAAGCGGCATAACGGAGGCAGTTTGTGTGGAGCTCTCGCTGATCCCAGCGCTGGCACTGCAGTAGCATTTAATCCTCACTGTTCTCTGAGTAGGTGGTCTCATTACCCCCATTTTATGTATGAGCAAACTGAGGTACTGAGAGCAAGCGAATTGTCCCAGGTGTGAGGGCCTTGCAGTGAGAGCGAGTCAAACAAGGAGTCTAATTAATCCAAGGAGATTGGCTACAGCGGTGGTTCTTAAAGAGTGGTCCCTGACCATTGGGAACGTTTTAGAAATGCAAATTCTCAGGTGTTTGAGAACCACTGCTCTGAAGCCGGAGCTCTTCAACACAGAGCTGTGTGGAATAGAGGAGGTATACCAGGCAGGTAAGCCATATAGGAGGTCTTGGCAATGGCCCAGAGGTGACAGCTCAACAAAGGTGTGGGTTTGGGTGGTTCAGGCCTGGGAGGTGACAGTGTGCCTTGAAACTTCAAAAACAGCAAAGGCAACGCCTCTTGGAGAATCAGTTTTAACTGAAAATCTGGGAAGGGACAGCACTGTTTTATGTGAAGATGAGTTGAGTAGAGGGATGGTTATCCTCTGATAACCATCGTTCTGTTATCTATATCTGTGATATTCTGACTTTTATTTCATTTAGCGTAATATTCTCAAGAGTTCATCTAGGTTGTCACAAATGGCAGTATTTCATTTCTTTAAGAGGAATAGTATTCCATTTTACAAAATTTATTGCTCTAGTGAAGTAATTTGATCATTAAGTCTATTATTAATATAATAAATGTCTTCTAATTGGTTTTTAATGAAAAAGTTCATTGTTATAAATAAGCATGAGATGTGCAATAAGACATTAGATTTCAAAGACTCATTCAGCTTAATATGGCCTTTCATTGTACGTCACTAAAGGAGCTCCTCTTCCTTCCCATTTTCTCCTCTTTCTCACTTTGATTAGGGCACTTGGGTAGAGAACTCTGAGAATCACAGGAGTAGGTGTTGCAGCAAGAACTGAAAGAAGCAGTGGATGTAGAAACATTAGAATTAACTTAACAAATAGTTTATCCTTAGAAAATTATCTGCATACCTACTTATGGAACCATACTAGTGAATGAAACAGGATAAAATACTATCTTTAGGGAATTTACATTTTAGAGGGGAAAACAAAATAAGAAAATACATGCAGAACTTAGTGTTCAGTACTAAGGAGATATGAGAGCAGTAAAGGGAAATAGGAGGTGAGTGAGGATTCAACTTTAGGTAGCATGTTAGGGAAGGTGTCACTGAGAAATACCTAGGGGAGAGGCGGTGAGTCACGTGAATGTTAGGGTCAGGGGAACTTGCAGGCAGAGAGAATAGTAAGTGCACAGATACGTTTCAGACAGAAGGGGTCCAGTGTGGCTAGAGCAGAGTGAGTGGGAGGGTGAGGGGACGCGGTCACAGTCAAAGGGCTACATCTTGGAGAGGCCATCATAGGATTTGGGATTCTCTGTCAAGTGCACTGAGATACCAGGTGGAGAACTCAGGTAGGCAGCTGGGCATGCAAGTCTCAAGTTTAGATTTGGGCTAAAGATAGAAATTTGGGGGGTTAACACTCTGTAGATGGTATTGAAACCAGGAGGCTAGTGATGTAAGTGCTGGAGTGAGTGTAGATAGAAAAAGGAGGCTCAGGGATGGTGCCCTAGGGCATCAAGTGTTAAGAGAGCAGACCTAGTGGCCCAGTGCGGTGGGAGGAAAACCTGACGGTGGGATCGTAGAAGCTGAGCAAGGGGAGTACTTCAGGTGGAGGGAGTGGGGGACTATGTCAAGAGCTGCTGATGGCTAACTGTGAAGTAGGTTTGTACACTTCTTCCAGAGGGAGTGGGGAATTGCAGGAGCAGGGTCCCGGGAAGTGCGAGGTAATGGGGTCTGCTTAACAGAACTCTAAGCATGGTCACAGGAGAACAAGTAGAGTAAGAGTTCAGCGGAGGGAACTTGCTGAAGCTTTTTTCTTGCTGTTGTATTTTCTTTGTGAAATAGGAAGCAGCTGAGATCCAGGAGGGGGTGGCCTGTTCGAGAGTTGAGGCAAGAGGAGAGAATGTGTTAGAGCAAGTGATTCTCCAGGTGTGCACCGGGGCCCCTCAAGATTGTTTTGGGGCTCTGCAAGGTCAGAGCTATTTTCATGATAACACTAAGATGGTTTTTTGCCTTTTGCACACACATTCTCTCACAGGTGCATAGTGGAGTTTTCCAGATGTGTGATCTTACAACAGCAAGTATAACAGACAGATATGAGAATCCTGTCTTCTATTAGGCCAGACATTAAAAAGATCTGTAAAATTGTTAAAACAGTGCCATTCTTATCACGACCTTTTATTTTTTTCAAATACATTACACAACTTTATGGTAGGTCTGGGGAAATGCATTATTGATAATAAATGGTGCAATAATAATTTATCTTTAGCAATATAATTATATATGAAGAATGTAAGTGTGGATACTCCCAAAGCAACACCATCCTAGTCCCTAGAGTTTGGCTGATTGTACTTGCCTTCACACTGCTAGTTCAGGTAACACCACAACTGAACATCACTTTCTTCCTACTTTACAGTTCTCGGTGTTAATGATATTGGCAAGTTCATACAGAAAAATACAAGAAAAATGGCTTTTAAAAATTTATTGCTCTAGTAATTTGATCATTAAGTCTATTATCAGTATAATAAATGTCTGTCTTCTAATTGATGGTTTTTAATGAAAAAGTTCATTGTTACCTTTCAGAGAAAGTGCTGAGCACAGCGTCAGCCCATAACAGGCAGTTGGTATTACTCTCCCTTTCCCATAAGCAGTGTTCATATTTATAACAAGGGTCTTTCTACACAGCAGCAAAACCAAAGTGGTCAGTGTTTTTATTCACCCTCCCACCAAGAGAGGGACTGATCATGCCTGAAAGACCTCTTTTCTACGTTTAGGCTTTGGTGTTCATTTTAACTTGATTTTACTTAAAAAAAAATTTATTGGGGTAACATATCTTTAGCAATATAATTATATATGAAGAATGTAAGTGTGGATACTCCCAAAGCAACACCATCCTAGTCCCTAGAGTTTGGCTGATTGTACTTGCCTTCACACTGCTAGTTCAGGTAACACCACAACTGAACATCACTTTCTTCCTACTTTACAGTTCTCGGTGTTAATGATATTGGCAAGTTCATACAGAAAAATACAAGAAAAATGGCTTTTAAAAATTTATTGCTCTAGTAATTTGATCATTAAGTCTATTATCAGTATAATAAATGTCTGTCTTCTAATTGATGGTTTTTAATGAAAAAGTTCATTGTTACCTTTCAGAGAAAGTGCTGAGCACAGCGTCAGCCCATAACAGGCAGTTGGTATTACTCTCCCTTTCCCATAAGCAGTGTTCATATTTATAACAAGGGTCTTTCTACACAGCAGCAAAACCAAAGTGGTCAGTGTTTTTATTCACCCTCCCACCAAGAGAGGGACTGATCATGCCTGAAAGACCTCTTTTCTACGTTTAGGCTTTGGTGTTCATTTTAACTTGATTTTACTTAAAAAAAAATTTATTGGGGTAACATTGGTTAATAAGATTACATAACTTTCAGGTGTACAGCATTTGACACCTGTGTATTCTATGGTGTGCTCCCCATCTGAAGTGTAGTTTCCTTCTGTTAACCATATGTTTGACCCCCTTTATCCACTTCACAATCACCCCATACCACTTCTCCTGATAACCACCATTCTGTTATCTATATCTGTGATATTCTGACTTACTTCATTTAGCATAATATTCTCAAGAGTTCATCTATGTTGTCACAAATGGCAGTATTTCATTTCTTTAAGATGAATAGTATTCCATTTTACATATATACCACATCACCTTTGTCCAAGCATTCATCAGTGGATACTTAGGTTGTTTTCATGTCTTAGCTATTGTAAATAATGCTGCATTGAAAGTAGAGGCACATATATCTTAATGCAGAAGTATTTTCATATTTTTTGGATAAACACCCAGAAGAATAATTGCTGGATCATTTGATAGTTCTATTCTTAGTTTTTTTGAGGATTTTTTTTTGTTTTCTATAGTAACTGTACTAATTTACCTTCCCACCTACAGTATACAAGGGTTTCCTCTTCTCTATATCATCCAACATATATTTTTTGTCTTTTTTATAATAGGCATTCTTACAGGTGTGAGGTGATTTCTTTCTGCTTTATTTCACTTGCATTTGGGATCAAATTCAGAAAAACATTTCTGAGACCAATGTCCATAAATTTAGTGCCTATGTATTCTTCTATGTATTTTATTATTTCAGGTATTACATTCAAATCTTTAATCCATTTTGATTAATTTTGTGTATGGTATAAGATAGTTTAGTTTCTTTCATTCTTTTGCATATGGCTGTTCAGTTTTCCCAACACCATTTCTTTTTCCATTGTATATTCTTGGCTCCTTTGTCAAAAATTAGTAAAGGACCTGAATAGACACTTTTCCAAAGAGGACATACAGATGGCCAAAGACATATGAAAAGATGCTCAATGTTACTAATCATCAGAAAAATGCAAATTAAAACCACAGTGAGTTGTCACCTCACACTTATAAGAATGGCTATCCTATATAATAAAGGCCTAATATGCTAAGTGTCCAGTCATCTGGTCGGCCATTCAACCAATCAAAGCATAAAATGCTAATGATATGCTAAGGCTGCTCAACTTCTTGCTATAACATGCACTGACCACCAGGAGGTAGATGCTCCAACTAGTAGGTTAGCTTGCTGTTGGGGTCTGGCTGCTCAGGACTGAGCGAGATGGGCTGGACAGGCCTCGGAGCCCTCCCGCGGTCCCTCCCAGGCTGGCCAACATCCCGCATCCCACCTGAAGTGCATGAATTTCGTGCACCGGTCCTCTAGTGTGTGTGTGTGTGTGTGTGTGTGTGTGTCTGTCTGTCTGTCTGGGTCTATTTCTGGGCTCTCAGTTCTCTTCCATTGGTCTATGTATCTATGTTTCTGCACATACCATACTATTTTGATTATTATAGTTTCATAGTATTGTTTGAAGTCAGAAAGTGTGATACTTCCAGCTTTGTTAATTTGTCACAGGGTTACTTTGGCTATTTGGGGTCTTTTGTGGTTACATACAAATTTTTAAAAACGTTTATTCATGTGAAATGGGTTAAAAGGTACAAAACTTCCAGTTATAAAATAAATAAGTCATGGGTATATAATGGATAGTATGGTGAGTATAACTAATGATATTGTATTGCATACTTAAAAATTGCTAAGCGAGTAGATCTTAAAAGTTCTCACCACAATAACATTTTTGCAACTATCATTTTGCAGTATGGCCGTTAGGTAATTTAAACCATCCTCCTGAGCCCTAAAGTTGGTTTTAAAGTGGATTTTGCATGTTTTGATTTCCTTGTGCATATTATTTTTAGTTTTAATGGGCTTATTTAAACTAGTTTTGTAAACACTGCTTACTACTGTCTTTTCTCATTTTTTTCAGTAACTTGGATCCACTTACAGAAACTGTATCCTTTTTTTAAAAAAAAAAAAGTTAAATGAAGGCTTACTAAAAGGAAAATAGAGAAACAAAGGAAAAAAATAGACTAGTACTGAAAAACTTTAAAACCTTTAGATCTGGAAACATCATAAACAACATTGTAAGCAATTTAAATAAACTGGGAAGATTTGTCTTAAACCTGCCTAACAAGTTGCTAATATAGTGACCTCATAAATCTGTAACAATACAGCTACCCTGCCCAGCTTCCCCTCAGTAGTATGGGTGTACACAACAGAAAGTAGTGAGTTCAGCAAGATGGGTTATTTCTGTGTGTTCTGAATGAAGTCTGGAAATGAGCAGTCTAGGGCAGGTGGTGGTTCCATGTAGTCACCAGTGACCAGGTTCTGCACTTGAACCACTCTGCCATTCCCAGGGTGGCCTTGGCCTTCCTATTCCATGGCTGCCAGAGCAGACAGCATCACATCCATGTTGCTGGCAGAAGGATCAACAGAGGGGAAGGTAAAAATATTGTTCGCTGTATCTCGTTGATCAGCACCTGCCTCACTTACGTAGCTGTAAGAATCCCAGAATGTGCCTACTTTAAATTGGGGCTTATTACTAAAGTGAAGAGAGGATTTGGGGTAACAATGAGCAGTATCTATCTGGATTATGTTGCACTAACAGACAACCCCCACATCCCGAGTGGCTTAAAACACAAAGTTGGATTTCTGGATTATCCATGTCCATTGCCGGGGGGGGGGGGGGATATTAACTGATAATTCAGTATAAGAGGCTAGTGAACATATTAGTTCAGTCTTACCAGTCAGAAGACGTGAATTACAACCAAAATAAAATGTGATGTTTTACTTATCAAAATATCTAGAATTAAAAAAAGATAAAACTCAGTGCTGATGAGGGTGAGGTTATAGGAACATTCTCATAAATTGCTAGTGATGGTATAAACTGCAAGAATTTTTTGGAAGTCACTTTAGCAGTGTAATTTATTTTATTTTATTGATTTCAGAGAGGAAGGGAGAGAAACATCAATGATGAGAGAGAATCATTGACTGGCTGCCTCCTGCATGCCCCACACTGGGGATCGAGCCCTCAATCCTGGCATGTGCCCTTGACCCAAATCAAACCCGGGACCCTTCAGTCCACAGGCCGATGCTCTATCCATTGAGCCAAACCGGCTAGGGTGGCAATGTAATTCTTAGTAATTCCAATTCCTAGAAGCAGAAAATAATAAGCAACAGAGGCAGTTATGTCAGGGCATGACAAACTAAGGTGCAAGAGCGAAGTTTGCACACTGCCTGTTTTTATAAATAGTTTTACTGGGACACAGATATACTGAGTAATTTTCTATTACATATGGTCTTTTCCATGGCCTTCACAGTTTGAGTAGTTGCAACAGAGACCATATGGACCACACAGCCTAGAATATTTACTATCTGGCCCTTTACAGAAAATGTTTGTTAACCCCTTAGTTATGTCATTACAAAAATATTTATTGCTGTTATTAAAAATTGGGGATAACATTCATTCACAACGATAAGGAAATGACTAAATAAATTAATCTCTATTCATAAAGTATTTTAAAAAGTTTGAGAATGTGGAAACAACCCAAACATCCACTGTCAAGAGATAGTATATTTAAATTGTCTTTTCACACAGTGGAACACTATACAGCAGTAAAAACTAATGGTAGGTAGTTTTACTATTTTTAGTTTTAATGGGCTACGTATCAAAAACAGAGTTGAGTGGAAAAACCAAAAACAGAGACTCTGAAGTTTTCATTTATATTTTAAAAACTATGACCTATTAAAGACCTTTCCATGTTTAAAAATAGTAAAAGGATTTTGAAGAATTTTGAATGACACAAATTTTCACCATAAAATAAGGGAAGTATTAGGATGCATATCAACTTAACGTGGTTTCCAGTTACCTGAAAAGTTTACAGTAAAAGTCTCATAATCTAGGTGAAGCCATATTTGAAAGGCACCTACCAACTCCTAGTGGTTGATGAGTGGGCACATTGGAGGAGACAGTTATGGTGTGTTTTAAGGCTGCATGGTAGGAAGACTGACTGGCCTGTCATTTTAGGGGTTAAGTTTGAAGAGTATTGAAAATAAAGCTTGTCCTTCAGAGGAGAGTTTGAAGAATTTACTAAACACGTTTTCCAGGAACTTAAAATATATATATGATCGATGATGTCCCTTCATGGAATTGTATCAGCAAGCTGACATTAAGGAGAAATAAACAGTTTATTATAGAGAAGAAATTTCTCATCCAAAAATATAGAAATCTGTACACCTCTGCCACAATTGATACACATGAACTGTACAAATTTACACCAGTTCATAATGTACCAAATAAAAAACTACAAAGTACTTCGTTTTAAAGTTACTTTCACAGTCTCTTAGTTGAAGCTAAAGTAGTCATTAATTTTCCAGTGCAATTATGGAAAAATAAACATACTGAGCATCTATGTATGAAGTGCCAGGGATACAGTAAACATTACTCATAGTTTTAAGGGGAGACAGATTGTAAACAAATAAGAATATCCGGTGAGGCTAAGTGCGATACAGAGATTTAGATACAATGAGTCATCGTTCAGTTTTCTGTTAGATGGTGTGGTTTCCATTCACATTTGAGGTGGTATGTTCAGGTACATTGTTAAAAAATTAGTGCTAATCTAAATATTTCCTGTAATGATATGATTATAGAAAACATACATATATAGAGCTGGGGATAAAGCAACAACATACTTATTAAGGGGAACTTTATCCCTTTTATGAAGAACTTGTTACTGCCCGTCATTCTTCACACTCCTTAACAAGACTCTAGTATGGGATTCCTTTTTATTTACAGTATCTTGCCCATTGGCCAGAGTATTTCATTGTTGCAGAGGCACCTGGTGGAGAGTTAATGGGCTATAGTAAGTATAATGCCACCAGTACTGTTTTGGATAGGAGTTAAGATTTTAATATGGGTTTAAACTGGTTTAGAATGATAAAGAATTGAAAGTATAATCACGATGTCTATAATTTCTTTCCTTTTAACCATTAGAAACTCAGTGATCCCTTCTACGTTAGGCATTGTGCTAGGTCCAGCTGTTACAGCAGTGAACCAACCAAACAGGGTCTCAGTCTTCTTGGATCTTTCAAACTATATATATGTTAAGTTTCTACATAGTTTATTTGGTACATAATACAAGGATTGTAGCATCTTCATTGAGTAGCATTATTAACAAAAACTTAGCTATTGATTGTCTCAGTTATGTATACATATACACATACCCACACATATACCTATGTGAAATATAGATATTTTTAAAAATACACATTCTGATTCTGTGTTCAAAATTAGTTGTTTTTAGTATATCATTCCTTTAAAAAAAACTTTCTAATTCTGATTCTACAACTAGATTTAGCATGACATTTATAAGTGAAATTCAGATAAAAGCACTATTAACCATTAAGTAGATGACTTTAAGATTTAAAAACTAAAGGTTTGTCATTAGTTTCCTTTATAATAAAAATGTACCAAACAGTAATTCTATATTTATGTGTAAACCCCTGTGTTTATTAATGAATGCAATCTTTTGTTGGCAGTTATGGGTAAAGCAGAAGGCTCAGTTGCTAGGGAAGAATGGCATGGGCATGTCACAGCTCTGTCTGTTGCCCAGAATTTCCACGCCTTGGTTTGGCTGCTAAACTTATGGAGTTATTAGAGGAAATCTCAGAAAGGTGAGGTCCTATTTTTCTAATAATTTATGAACCCTGATCATTTGATTTTTCTCTGTGAACATTTATAAGACTTTTTCCCTTTAGGCTGAGTAAATATAATGCATTACAACTTACAGAAGTTTCATTTTTAGCCTCCAGTAGCCCTTACAACAATTCTGTAACATATTCAGAATGGCATTGTCCCTATTTTGCCACTGAGGAACATTAAAGCAAAATAAGTGACTTGCCACAGGCTTACAAGCTGGGTAATTCGTGGAATCAAATACTAGCCCTCAAAGTTTGTTTGTTTTTTTTACTACTCTTGCCACTATGGGAGATATTCCCATATTCTTTGTTAACATTGCCCTTGGCATCATAATGATTTTTTCACAGTGCCCTTGACCAAACGGAAAACAGTTTAGTCTTAAGCAGTTATGCCCTGATTAATAAGTATTTATGGCCTAACAACCTAGTAGCTATTTAGAAAAAAAGTAAACTGAAAGAAAAAATATTTTTATTTCATTGTTAAATAATTGTGGTTATCGACTAATGAGATGTGTGCTCTTGTTGGGTATTGTATTCCTTTTCAAACCCTGGAAATGGATTGATACAACCACCCGCATTCCTGTTTCACATTGGTTTTCATGTGGTACTTTATTTTTTTAATCATAGGAACTGCCCAAAATCTGGCCTCATAAAGGTAGTCATCAAAAGGGATGTAACATGATATAATGTTGTATTCTCGATTACATCAAAATAGTGGTTTGTTAGTGTCTGATATGTAAGGTTTGTCTGTGTTTTCGAACATTTGAAATACCCTGCAGCACCTCTGAGTTTTGGGCACACTGGGGCGCCCTGGAGCAGTTTGGGGAACTGCCAACATTATGGCTTTTTAAAAAAGACCTATTGTATATGTTAAACATCCTCATTAAGTGAGATGAAAGTAATAGAGTAAAGAGAAAACCCTTCCTGCCAGCCCATTCTAGAATAGATATGAGATGTGTGTATAAAGTTTAACCAGTTGCCAAGCTGCCATTTTTTCCTTTACTCTAAATACTTAAAAGTATATAGGAAAGGGAATAGCTGCTGAGAAGCACTCGAGGCTTTACACTTAATTAACGGAATTAATAAATATAAGTTTTAAAATAACCCAGGCTTAAAAATGCTCCTAGCCGAAGTGGTGGCAAGAGGAACTCGAGCTCATTCAGAGAAGAGAGGAAATGGTGTTAGCCAAAAAGGAAATGAACTCTAGTCTTTAAGAATACCTAAGATTTAAGTAATCTTTATTTGTATGGATGTGTGTGTATATACCAATATCCATCCATACATCTATACATGTGTATACATGTATACATTAAAAATAGAAACAGTATGTAACTTCAAAACAAACAAGTAGGGAAAAAACAGAATGACAAATCATTTTAAAAGAAAGAAAAAGGAAATTAAAATGACAAAATAAATAAAAAGCATGAATTAAGATGATAGCTGTGAATCAAATATTTTCACTAATTACAACAGTAAACGTCAATAGATTAATGAGTCCAATTAAAAGGACATTATGCTAAGTGAAATAAGCTAGTTACAGAAAGACAAATACTGCATGATCCCACTTACATGAGGTATCTAAAATAAATTCATAGAATCAAAGAGTGGAATGGTGGTGGCCAAGGGCTGGGTGTATGGGGAAGTAGGGAGTTAATAATCAGCATAAAGTTTCAGTTAAACAAGATGAAAAAGCTCGAGTCTGCTATACAGCATTGTACCTGTAGTCAGCAATAATGTATTGTACGTTTACAATTTATTAAGATCTCATGTTGTGTTATGAAAAAAAATTGAAAAGTAAAATAAAATTGAAAAAAAAGGAGACTGTTAGGACTATTTACAAGAAATATATGTAAAGATTAGATATAGAAAGATTGAAAGTAATTTTTAAAATTATAAAAATTCTAATCAAGACAGTTGGTATACTTAAATGAACAGTTGTCACAGTATAGTTCAATAATTACCAGCTTAAAAAGAGTCATTGCATATTGATAAAAGATTTAGTCCATCAGGAAGATGTAATAAAAAAATTTACATACTCAATGATATATTCAATGTAAAAATGCACCACTTGGCAAAACTATACTAAGAAATAGACAAATCATCACCATAATGGGAGATGTGTCTTTCTAATTACTAGGCCAATCAGACAAATTAAGGATATAGAACAGGGGTCAACAAATTTTTTCTGGGCCAAATAGTAAATATTTAGGCGTTGTGGGCTACCTAAGGTCTCTACTATGTGTTTGTGTGTGTGTGTATGTAACAATCCTTTAAAATTATAAAAAACATTCTTAGTTCGAGAGCAACAAAAAATAAGTTGTGAGCTGACCTCTGACTTCAAGAATTTCAATCAGCCAAAAATCTTTCCACATAGAATACTGGCTTTTCTGGCAAAAATTTTTACCATTCTAATTAAGAAATAATGACTGTAAGTTCACTTTTCCACAAAGAGGGAACATTCTTCAACTTCTTTTTTTTAAGGCTAGGATAACCCTGATAATAAAATCTGACAAGAATTAGAAAGGAAATTTGAGGGAAATCTCATTATACATGCAGAAATCCCAGTAAAATCTTAGTAAAATGGATTCAGCAATTCATAAAGAGGATGCTATATCAAGGGAAGGTTATTTTTAACATTAGAAAATCTGTAAGTATATTCCACCACTGTAATAGATTAAAGGAGAACTATTATTTAAGTAAATGCAAAAAATGCATTGATAAAATTCAGTATTCATTCGTGATTAAAAACTTGATCAAACTAGGAAATAGGAGAGAACTTCCTTAAACTGAAAAGAGTATCTGCGAAAAACCTGTGGTAAATATTGGTGGTGATGCATGCTTTCCTTTTAAAATCTTGGACAAGATAAAGACACCTATAGTTAGCCCCTCTTTAGTAATATATTGGAAATACTAGACAGCACCAGTAAACCAAGAAAAAATAAGAGGATTGGAAAAAACAAACTTACTTTGCAAAGATAAGATTGGGCAGATAGGAAACTCATTAAGAAGCTACAAGTAAATGTTTAGACCAGTGATTTTCAACCTTTTTCATTTCGTGGCACACATTAACTACTAAAATTCTGTGGCACACCAAAATAATTTTGCCGATCTGACAAAAAAAGTGTGATTTTGATTCATTTACACCAGATGGCTATAGTTGTGTTGGCTGTTGTTTTTTGACAAGTGCATTTTGATGCCACTGCAAATGGCATCTTTTTCTAAATCTTATCATTTGTATAGAAATCAACTGAACTTTATACTGATGTTAAAAATGGCACACTGGTGTGCTCAAAGAATTTTTAAAACATGCAATACCTGACTTTTAGGGACACTAACATCTTTTCCCCAGTGGTTCTCAACCTTCCTAATGCTGCGACCCTTTAATATAGTTCCTCATGTTGTGGTGACCCCCAATTTCATTGTTACAAATTGAACATAATTAAAGCATAGTGATTAATCACAAAAACAGTATGTAATTATATATGTGTTTTCTGATGGTCTTAGGCGACCCCTGTGAAAGGGTCGTTTGACCCCCAAAGGGGTCGCGACCCACAGGTTGAAACGCTCTATACGTTTCAGAATCAATGTAAGTCCCACAAAAAATACCTGAGATTTTTACTGCAATTACATGGGCTCTTGAACCAATTACCAGTTTACTATATTAATTCCTTTATGCACTGTGGTTTATCTCTGCATTTAGATCAGTGGTTTCCAACCTTTTTTTGGCCATACCCCACCTAAGCATCTCTAAAATCCTGATGCCCCTTCTGTGACATATAATTCTTATTATATTAAAAGTGAACTCTAAAGGCCATTAACTTGCATCCATGAAAGAAAAATAAAAGAACAAACGGACAGTTGAAGTACTGAGGAAGAAATCACTAAGAAATTGTTAAAAAAATATGAAGTGATATTAAAAAATAGTAAAGTTTCAAAACATAATAGAGAACTGAAATGCATAAATGTCACAATATATATTTATATACTGTATATGAGGACCCTAGAACCATAAAAAATGCAAAAAATTCAGTGTTAATAACTCATTCTCGAATTGCCTTCCTTAAAAATCAAATTGCCCCATGTTGGGAACCACTTATTTAGATGGATCATCTTTAATGTTTCTCAAAGTTTTATCAACTTTAGAGATCTTGCAGCTTTTGTTAGATTTTTTTCCCTAAAGGTTTAGTGCAGCGGTTCTCAACCTGTGGGTCGCGACCCCTTCACAGGGGTCGCCTAAGACCATCAGAAAACACATATATAATTACATACTGTTTTTGTGATTAATCACTATGCTTTAATTATGTTCAATTTGTAACAATGAAACTGGGGGTCACCACAACATGAGGAACTGTATTAAAGGGCCGCGGCATTAGGAGGGTTGAGAATCACTGGTATAGAGGAATGGTTAAGAGCCTAAAAGAGACAATATATTCCTGAACAACAAAATGGGTGGATTTGCCCCTTTAGATATCATAGATATTAACCTGTAATGAGTAAGACTCACGTGTGTTCGGGCTGGAGTAAAGCTGTAATGAGTGAGACTGTGTTCGGACTGGTGTAGTTGTCTAGAGCAGTGGAACAGAATTTGAGAAACAGATCCAGGAATACATGAATTTTTACATACCTCAGAGGAGGCAGTTGTCTTGAGTGATGAAAGGATACACTTTTCAGTGAAAAGTGGTGGCACAATAGGATATCCATATGGGGAAAAAAATCTTCCCAGATTGCCATCTTACTATATACAAATCAGTTCCACATTTGTTAAAAACCTAGATGTGAAAAGCAAAATTAACAAGCCCTTTGAAGTTAATACAGGAGAGCGTCTCCCTAAGCTCAAGGTAGAAAAGAACTTCTGAAACAAGCCATAAAAAATGCTAACTGTAAAGGAAAAGTTCATATACAGTAGTCCTCGGGCTAAGTCGGAGATTGGTTCCTACGGCACCTCATAACGTGATTTTCGCCATAAGTCGGAACTCACCTACATAAGCACCTACGTCACTCACATGGAGCACATACACAGCAGTAATGAAGTGAAACAGTAAAAAAAATTTAAAAGATAACAATTCCTGACCTTGTGGCAAATAAATAAAAAACATAAAGCACATATGTACATACGTCAAAATGACGACTTTTTTTTTAATAAATGGGAGATGGCGATGTAACCACGAAACGACGTACGTCAAGTCCGACGTAACCCGAGGACTGTCTGTATTCAAGTTCATTGAAGTGAAGTAATTTTGTTCATCAAAAAATACATAAAGATAATGACAAGACTAGCCACAAACTGGAAAAAGATAGCAAATTGGAAAAAAGATGTTATATCCTTTACACAAAGATTTGTTACATCCTTTACACAATGTTGAATATCCAGCATACCAAACTATAGCATAGGGGAGGAAAAAGAAAAATGTTTCAGAGACCAATAGAGACTTCAGAACCAGAAATCTAAATGGCTAGCAAAAATATATTCAGCCTTGTTAGTAATCCAAAATGTCAATTAATATCCCTGAGGTATTATTATACTGTAAGATTTTCAAGCAAAATGTCTGATGCAAAAAGCCTTGGTAGTATGGTACTGGAGTCTTACCCATTTCTGTGGGAGTTTAAGGGGCACAGTAAGTTGAGAAACAGACATTATTTAACAAGTTGAAGAAGTGTGCACCCCGACGAGCCAGCAATAGACTTGAGTATTGTATGACTAACTGGTAAAATGGGCATGTCAATTACTATGACATAAAACACACAGTAATTTTTTAAGCCAGTTAGCAGAATTGTGGAAAAAATGTTTTAAATTTTATATTTTAAGAAAATATGTACTATAGGTTTTGAAATTAGTATGCAGACAGAAAGTTATCTTTTTATACAGTGAAATAGTTGTTATAAATCCTCAGCAATATATTTTTTTAAATTGATTTATGATGTAATCACCTGCAAGGTCCTATTACTGCCATTCTATTAAAAGTAGTCAAAGTAAAAGCAAGTATTGTTTTTAAAAATACATGTATCTATTTTTTTCCTATGGTTTCTCTCGTGGTAACATTTTCCTTTCTTTTTAAAAAAAGAAAAGGTGGATTTTTTTTGTTGATCTCTTTGTAAGAGTATCTAACCAAGTTGCAGTCAACATGTACAAGCAGCTGGGCTACAGTGTATACAGGACGGTCATAGAGTACTATTCAGCCAGCAACGGGGAGCCCGACGAGGATGCTTATGGTAAGCTGTCTTTGGCAAAATCCCAAAGAGGAAGCTGAACATTTACATTCATTCTACAGACTGAAATACCTAATTATTTTAATAAACTTAAAAGAATCATATTTGTTGGACTTATTATTTTAAATTCAATATATATTTAAATTTCCTTTAACCTGCTTTTAGGAACCTACCACTAATTAGCTTATATTAACTAACCAATGACTAGTTACTATGTTATTGTCTTACTACGTTACTTTACTAAGATTCTGTCAAAAGAACATTTGTATGAAGAGCTGAATCCCAGTTGGGCTTTGGTTATTACCCTCTGGTTACTGGTGGTTGAGTCTCACTTGTATAAAGACATTTCCCTTAGATCAGTGGTTCTCAACCTTCCTAATGCCATGACCCTTTAATACAGTTCCTCATGTTGTGATGACCCCCAATTTCATTGTTACAAATTGAACATAATTAAAGCATAGTGATTAATCACAAAAACAATATGTAATTATATATGTGTTTTCCGATGGTCTTAGGCGACCCCTGTGAAAGGGTCGTTCGACCCCCAAAGGGGTCGCAACCCACAGGTTGAGAACCGCTGCCTTAGATTATGGTGAAAGGGGAGATAAGGGGCAAAACCTCTTATAGGAACTTTTCCTGTACACTTTAAATTTAATATAAAGTTATTGAAATTTGGGTACTTTAATTAAATTTTGTTTCCTAACAGATATGAGGAAAGCACTTTCCAGGGACACTGAGAAGAAATCCATCATACCATTACCTCATCCTGTGAGACCTGAAGACATTGAATAACCATGGGCAGTGGTTCTTAGGTTGATGCTCCAGATATTTTATGGACAATATTATTTTCATTGGATGGCATTAGAGTTCTGTTAGAGAAAAGTGCTCATTTAGATCTTAAAGACTTCAAGAAAATGTTTTAAATTTTACTGTTTCCAGGTAGCAACATCATACCTACTGAAGCTGTCCATTGTAATAAAATTCAATCAGAAAGGCAGCTAAGTCAGATGGAAACATTCTATCAGAGTTCATAATATTCACTATATGCTAGGGGGAAAAAAGCCCCAATCTCCTCATAAATTCTATGCCTGAGAACCACTGCTGCATATATATATATTTTTTTTATTTTGTATTGAACTATTGATTGAAGCTTTAAAACCATATATGAAATGTTAAATCTAAGATGTATAATAAAGTGCACTGTTGACTCTATAAATGTTTTTTGGAAGTTTATAAAACTAAAGATTGAGAAAGCATCATTTAGGATATGATGCTTATTTATTTATATATAAAACATTTTTAAAATGCATACTTGAAACAGTTCCTGACCAGCATACTTAAGCTTCCTTATTTCAAAATAAATTCTTCACAGTTATTGTTTTCATACTGTTCTAGATCCTTTCCGTATCTCATATATATTTTGCTTAAATCATGCCTTTCAAATTATAAAAAGATGTTGAGGTTTATTTAAAGGGGAAAAAGAACCTAAATCCTAAAGGCCATGTAACTAGATCATAGGCCAACAACATACTTTCATGTGTAGTTTTCATCACCTGTAATATCTGAAAACATGGAGTAAAAGAAGTAAAGAAAATCCCACAGAAATGATTACTAAAAAGCTGTTACTTTTGAAAGGACTTACTTTGGTAGTGTTGAAAGAGTGAACAAGAAATGAATCCTTTATGTTCTACCGTTAGAGAATAACTTTTTCCTTCATGCATTACACTCTGGTACTTCCCAGGAAGTGTTGACTTTGCATTGATCAGATTTTTTTTTCTTATGCATACATGCAACATAAACATAATTTTAGCAAGACTCTATGATCAGTCACTTTTATTAGCATTTTGGCCTGTTTTCATCTCACCCTTTGACACTGTGCACTTTGCCAAAGGATATTAAAATCACAAATACTCCTCACTGGGTAGGCCAGGGGTGGGCAAACTTTTTGACTCGAGGGCCACAATGGGTTCTTAAACTGGACCGGAGGGCCGGAACAAAAGCATGGATGGAGTGTTTGTGTGAACTAATATAAATTCAAAGTAAACATCATTACATAAAAGGGTACGGTCTTTTTTTTTTTTAGTTTTATTCATTTCAAACGGGCCGTAGTTTGCCCACGGCTGGACTAGGCAGACCTCACTACTCAATAGTCAGATCCTGATACCCAACAGCTGATACTGGTCCAATGAACCAGTGAGACTGAAAACAGTTGCCTTTTATCCTAACAGTCCTATTTTATTCTGCCCTTAAAAAATCACAAACTATCTTATTTCCAAGATACAATTTAGTAACATTAACTAGCTTTTATTCCTGTGGGTAACATATTTGCAAACTTAATAAATTTGCAGATAATAAATTTGCTAATTCTCCTTATAAGTGAAAAACAGTCTTAGAGATAAATAGTTCTATAACCTGGGCAGTCAACAGAGCAAAAAAAGATAGGCTTAAGAAATATACGCCAAGTTAAAGGAAACAATTTCAGATCAGTTAATTAAGGCAATTATTTTTTGCTTGAGAATGTGAGCAATGTATCATCCAAATGCTATTATTATTCTCCTTGTGCTATTAAGTTTCATTGAGCTTAGTAGGACAGTGAGAGATACTTACTGGTACTCTAGGTAGAAATGACTCCCTCGTCCAGCGAGTTTGGGGAACATGCCAGCATTGTTGCTGTTAATTCATATATATATGGTAGCATATCAAAGGCTCTGAGCAGCCTATAAAGAGATTTAGTTAATAAGGCTTAACCCTTAATCTAGGGTTTCCCAAACTTGAGTATGGGATATTGTTTTTCATGGCACACCTATTACTGTTTTTAAACAAGCCATTACAGAGTTCAACCAGTCCGGGAAATTGATTAGGGCATAACTAGAATTTGACTAATATGTTCTTGGTAAAAAAAGATCGTTTAGAAAAATAGTCACTGTAAATTATTTTCCAATTAATGTTTTGAAAAATACTTAGCATAAATGGCCATGAAAGTAAGGATTTTAGAAGTTAAATTAATCCAAGCACATTCAATTCTATAAGGAATGAACATATTTAAGCAAGTGGCCAGGAATGAACATTTTATTGAGCACTTACTATGCATTAGGTATGGTCCGTATTTAATCTTGAAAATGAGTTGGCAAGTATTAGCCCATCTTATGAGTGAAGAAATGAAAATAAAGGTTGTTATATATCACTAAGTGGCACAGCTGGCAATAGTATTAAGTTAGTGTGACAGAAGACATGAAAAAGTTAAAGATTTCAGATGAACGCATAAAATATCTTTATGAAAAAAGACAGGCATGAGAAAACTACACCTTAAAAGTTACTACAGAGTGTAACTTGAAAACTTCTAGAAAAAGATTCTTTCAAAAGCCTGCATTTCATCTAAAATCAATGCTAAATGTTACCTCAATTAGATTTCCTAATGCATTATGTGGATAAAAAAATGTTTGGATTCCATCAAAGAAATCCAGCAGTTAAAAAAAAAATTCCTTTACTCACAACCCCCACCCACCTAACTAGCCCAAGAGCATTTTTAAAAGAACTAAAAAAATAGCTGCCAAAGATCTCAATCACTTCATTACTGGTGAAATATATAAAGACTTACAGGACTCACAGAGTTCCAAACTTAATTTATAAAAATAATAAAACATCAGTATGAACAAGATCAGGATTCACTCTCATCAATGTCCTTATCTGGGTCTTGCTCGGCAGCCTCCTTTTCCTGTTGCTGTTTCTTCCAAAGTTTGGCCATGGCCAGGAGCTTGAGATTCGGTTGGTTGGCAGCATCTTCCGGAAAGATGTAATCATAGTATTCTTCCCAGCCTGCATCAGACTGCAGGAAAAAGGTAAACAATTAAAGGATAAGCAAACGTGGCTGAAATACATTTATTTCAGTTACTTTAAAGTGGAAAATATTAACTGGAAAAACCAGAAATCAAAATCAACTTATCTTCATTTTACACAACAACATCAAAGTCTGATACAGAAAGAACAAGGGCCAGGCCTTGAATACTGGGAGCAGATGAGTAGCTGTTGGATTGGTGGTGTTCCAAGTGTAGCTCAGTGAGAGCTAAAAACCTGGTGGAAAAATATTCTACAAATCTAAGCGCAGCTCCTCTATAATCAACCAAGGAGATAGTATCTCTAATTCCATTTTGTAGCCTAAGATTTAAAAAATGTAAAGATTTACCTAGTATTTACCCAGTAGTGAAAGCCCCCTACCTGCATAATTATTCCAAATCCCTGCCCTAACATCCCCACCTCCAGTGGGTCACTGATTTCACTTCCTAAAGATCACTCTAGTTCCAGCTTCCACCTCCACTTGCTTTGCTTACCACAGCCGCCCGATAGGGGCTCCTGCAATCTAAGCCCCGTGAGTCTCCTGCAGAAGGTGCCAACGACCGGGTCATGCCATGTTGTGCAGAAGAGCCTTCCTATAGCCTTCCCTGGATTAGGTCCTACCTAAAAGTTGATTAGCCCGACTGCAATTGTCACCTACCAAGGCCTGCTCCCATTCTCAGATGTACATATGCCACATAAAAGCACAGATTTCTAAGTCAGAATGCATTTCTGCTCATTTAACAAGTTCTTACCCCATCATCAGCCTGGACCTTTCTTCTCTTTTTGACTTTCTCTGGCATGAGTTTGTCTACTCTTTCCTTATCTGACGTAGTTCCAAATTCATCTTCAAAGCTTCTCCAAGATTCCAGCAACATAAGTCTCTCTTCCTTTTCCTCACAGTTTCGCATGGTTTTGTTAGCCTCTTCATAAATTTGTCTGCATTTAGGCAAACTTCCTTCTTTCCCTGAAGACAACTCAAACTGTGCAAAACTGATCCATACCTTAAAAACAATTATTATAGAACCAAATTAACCATGTCACCTAGAATACAATAATGCAAAACCAGATAACCTATAAAGCACAGAATACCTTGACATGTTGTGTCCGTTGAAGCAATCGTCGGTAAAGATTGCGTGTTCTTTCAGTTTCTTCCTGCTCAATTTCGAAATCAATGTATGATTTCCAGAGCACCTGAAGGAGATAACTAAATAGGTCAGTCTTGACATTTAAAAGCAATATGCCCCTATCCAAAGCACAACTTAACTACCATTCCAACCCAGGACATCCAGAAACCTAGGACTTTTATGAACAATTAAAGAACAGAAGGCATATGGACAAATAAATAATACTAGCATTTACAAGCTGCCCAACTTGGCTAGAATTCTACATTATGAGAAAAAAAGGCTTGGATTATCTTAGAATTTTTCAAATGCTGGACTTATCAAGAGGAGCTGAGAAACTTGCCATCTCTCCCAGGCAGTCATGATCAAGTCACATACAACTGAACTTGCAGGGAGAAACAGGCCTAGATTAGCCAGTGTATACCGTTTTACCTCCACTGTAAGTTCTTGATATGTCTGAGTTCAACTCAACAAGCATGCAGTGAACAGCTGCCCATCTGCTAGTATGTATAGCCTGTCGAGAGCATAAGGCTGAACAAGATGTGGTCTGGACTCCTGGGAGCTGGCAGTCTGTGGAGGAGCTGAGGCCAATAGATGGACCTAGTAATACAAAAAGCCCTGCCCCAAGGCAGTGGTGGGGCCCAGTGAACTATTAAATGAAAGGCAATATTAGTGCAAGATTAACAAAAAGGCTGAGTTCGGTGGCTCCTATTAAATTCAAATTCGTACTAGCTGTGGTTTGGCGCCACCTTGTGGCTCTAGCTTAAACATTGAAAGGATGATTTCAGATCCTGCTAAAGACAGGACTTCCAGTACAGTAGCAATAATTCCAGGAGTATCCTGGTTTACTTAGACCCTCTTCTGATAGCCCAATCCAGAGTAAACTGTGCTAGGAGAATCCAAAGGTGTGCAGTCTCAACTTCCATCTCCCTTGATCTCCAGGTGGGATTATCTGCTGCCTGTCTCCTTGACTTTCCCATTCCCTTTAGCTTCCTGCTTGAGAATGGGAGGAAGAGAGCCAGTCACCCACCCATTATATCCCAATTCAGTTTTGTGTCACAATGAGACACTGCTGTGCTCTGGTAGCCACCTAGAACAGCGGTTGCCAACCTTTCGGACCTCACGGACCACCAGTTGGCAACCGCTGACCTAGAGGGCTGCTCCTCCGGCCTTGCTATCTCCAAAACAGAAAAGTCCTCATTTGAGTGGAAAAGACTGAACATTAGATCTTCTTTATGCTCTAAAATGCACACTTAG